ATGCTTTGACCCCCATCCAATTCTACTGAGTTTGCCAATTGTCACCAAGGGCAGCAATAACTGGGCCACACATTTGTTATAATAATGAAACAAAGAATGGCAGAATATCCTAAAACATGAAATGACAGGCATAAGGGAAAATATCTGTGTATTTTAACACTTATATAAACTCCCCATAGTGGCAAAGACAGAATCTCAAGCAGACAAAATGAAAAGAACAAAGAAAAATATCAATTAGGGGATTAATAATTGATCTGATACTAAATTCCCCAAACTCACTTGGTAAGAATTGTATAGCAGACAGAAAAGAGAATCCATTTGCGAACGAGATAATAAGAGTGAAAGGGTTGATACTGTTTTGAAAAAAACTGAGCTTTAAAATAATGTGGTGTTAGAAAAGAGTAAGTGATCATGTAATGTCTAATACACCACCACACAGTTTCCCTGTACATATATGTGTGTGTGTCAGTGTTGTCTGTGTCTGCATGTGTCTGTGTGCGTGTGTCTGTGTCTGAGTGTGTGTGTCTGTCGTGTGTGTGTATGTGTGTGTGTGTCGTGTGAGTATGTTTGTATGTGAGTGTGGTCTATTAAGCATTTTTACAAATTGATATGCTCATTTACCTCTCACTTATGAACTTGGGCAAATTACCACCACTGGTAATTGAGGGTATCTAATTTTTCCATGCATTTTCTCACACACACAGCATATTTCAGTTCCTCTAGACAAAACTGTCACATCAAATTCCAGTCACTTACTGGGAGAATAAGTACAGGACATGTGTTGGTACAAATAATGATTTGCCCCTCTCAATATGTCGCACTTATTTGCCTACATTTTCTACAAATCTTACAGTGATGATATAGTCATGTATTACTTCACAATACAGTGATGTACATACATTCATCAGTTTCAATGTTTGCAGTTGTGGTTGATTATTTGACAAAAGCAATTTTTTGGCAAAAGCTTTATTTAGTACTGCAAAAAATATCTTTCCTTGGGCCTGTCATTGCGCATTTTAGGAAATTCTGCCATATTTCTCTCATTATGCTGAATAGCTAATAAAGTATTTTGCACAATACACAAATAAAACACAGATATTCCATCATTCCATGTTTATGCATATTCTACCATTACACCTGAAATGACCACTTTTCATTCCCAAGTTCCCATAACAGTGAGACCACCTACTTTCTGACTTACCACTGCTTACAACTTTTAGCTCAGAATTTGGAAAGGTTTTGATAAAATAATACCCTTCAGTTAATATTTTCCTTCTTCATATAGAGATCAACTTTTGATGTGGCAGTTGAAGGGATATTAAATAGGCCATTTTTTACTTCTAAAACATGTTTTAATCTTATCATACAGGAAGTGTATTATCAACAGTAAAATGTTTACAAGTTGGTTGAGTTGAGACTTTGACAGTTTGGTTTTTTTGGTCCAGTTCTTGAGGGAATAGAAAACACTATCAGAACAATGGAGCTCAATATGGTGGTAATCAGTGCCCCCAATTCTTAAAACATCTGGTTGTTCTGCAACAAGGAACAGCAGAACACTATTTGAAAAGCTACAGAAACTGTAACCACTGCTTTACTGAGTGTTCATTTAAAACTGGACCTTAAACTGCACCTTAAACTTGAGTACAGACTTTTAAAATGGACAATCCCCTCATCCTTAGAATATTTCATTTTAAACTCACTGATGTCTTGTTCCTAAACTGATTAACTGAGGGGGTGGGTTATAGGTCACTGAGCGAAGATTCAAGGGTGGGCTACGTTATTCATGCAATTAGCAAAGCGTGGGCTGCGGAAATTTGCATCAGAAATACATTAGATGTTTCCAGCTCCTTCCCTTCACCATAGCCGGCCCTCCCTTCGCACTTTATAACCAATCCCTATTATTACACAGTTTTCGTAACTCCTTGAAGATAGAAAAAAAGAATCGTATAAATTAAAGGTACTAATTATATTTAGGAGCGGTTATGAATTCTTTTACTTACCTAAATATCGTATTTGACTGTCAGGCAACAAGATGGGTAAAATCTCTTTATTTTCATCGTCTGAGAAGTTCAAGATCCCAACGGCCTTAGGATTCTCGCCACGAGTTAAAATAACAGCACCATAGGGCTTGCGATTGGAAGTGCCCACGAATTCAGCAAAATGTCTGTACTTCATATGGCCATCACACAGGATAAACTCTTGGTCTATGCGCTTGAGCTCGAAAGATTTCACATCGAAGAACGTTTCACTTGTATCATCCACAACTTGACAAATGAAAGCGCTCGATTCATCTCCATTCAATTCTGTGGAAAATGGTCGATAGGTGACAACACTCCGCCAANAAAAGGCGACCTCTTTGGCTCAACAAAGCTTTATAGCACTAGTCCGATGTCACAACTAGTTATTCACCCAAGCGTGACCTTTATATTGATTTTTTTATCTAAAAAGAGACGAAGACAAAAGCTAAATTAGCTTACCGGACGTGTCAGCCATTCTCGCATAAATTACTCATAGCACCGGCTCGGCCATTCCTGGAACATAGATTTCTGCTAGCCTGTTTGTGAAATTACTATAATCATTAATTTGGTGCCAATTAAGAAGTAACGATAATCATTATTTCGGTCTCGAGATCATGTTGATATTTCATGGGTATGGAGCTCTGCCCCACGAAACGTGCGTGGGAGCCGCGTGCTACCAATGAAATGGTTTGACCCCTTCCGGAAATATATGGTGACCCCCTCTAGGAAATATGATTCAACCCCCCCAGGAAATAGGTGGCATTGACCCCGCTCCCCCTTAGAAATCCCGGGCCTACAATAGGGGGGGTGCGGATATTAAATGGAATGGCCCAATCCCTCAGACTCCCAAGCGCGTCGATTCGACCAGCTTTTTTCTTCCACATTCCTCTACGCCAAAATGGCGAGTTTCGACGGGAGTGCCGGCAATCAATTTACTGGGCTCAAGCCACTTTCAACCATCAAGGAAAGAGAGAGGAAAAAGTTTAAAGCATTACTGGGAGTTTGTCGCATAAAAGTCCTTAAGCTGGGAGAAGGCTTCAAAACTGTTGGCTCTGGATGCATAATCGAAGGTCTGCTGAAGCAAGCGCTCTTGAAAAATAGGTGTTGCCTCGTAACCAGCGATAAAGTCCTACCCGCGGAGAATTTGGATGATATTGACGAGTTTTACATGGAATTTAGAAAGTTGAAACCTAAGAAGATCAAAACCGTCAAACTCGGTAGTATCGCAGATAGGAAAGCTTCCATCGTACGACCTAGTTCCGGCATGGTCGCCATTATTTTGAAGGAACACAATATTTTAAGTGATGGACAGTCTTGGCGGAGTGTTGTCACCTATCGACCATTTTCCACAGAATTGAATGGAGATGAATCGAGCGCTTTCATTTGTCAAGTTGTGGATGATACAAGTGAAACGTTCTTCGATGTGAAATCTTTCGAGCTCAAGCGCATAGACCAAGAGTTTATCCTGTGTGATGGCCATATGAAGTACAGACATTTTGCTGAATTCGTGGGCACTTCCAATCGCAAGCCCTATGGTGCTGTTATTTTAACTCGTGGCGAGAATCCTAAGGCCGTTGGGATCTTGAACTTCTCAGACGATGAAAATAAAGAGATTTTACCCATCTTGTTGCCTGACAGTCAAATACGATATTTAGGTAAGTAAAATAATTTACCCATCTCGTTGCCTGACAGTCAAATACGATATTTAGGTGAGTAAAAGAATTCATAACCGCTCCTAAATATAATTAGTACCTTTAATTTATACGATTCTTTTTTTCTATCTTCAAGGAGTTACGAAAACTGTGTAATAATAGGGATTGGTTATAAAGTGCGAAGGGAGGGCCGGCTATGGTGAAGGGAAGGAGCTGGAAACATCTAATGTATTTCTGATGCAAATTTCCGCAGCCCACGCTTTGCTAATTGCACGAATAACGTAGCCCACCCTTGAATCTTCGCTCATTGACCTATAACCCACCCCCTCAGTTAATCAGTTTAGGAACAAGACATCAGTGAGTTTAAAATGAAATATTCTAAGGATGAGGGGATTGTCCATTTTAAAAGTCTGTACTCAAGTTTAAGGTGCAGTTTAAGGTCCAGTTTTAAATGAACACTCAGTAAAGCAGTGGTTACAGTTTCTGTAGCTTTTCAAATAGTGTTCTGCTGTTCCTTGTTGCAGAACAACCAGATGTTTTAAGAATTGGGGGCACTGATTACCACCATATTGAGCTCCATTGTTCTGATAGTGTTTTCTATTCCCTCAAGAACTGGACCAAAAAAACCAAACTGTCAAAGTCTCAACTCAACCAACTTGTAAACATTTTACTGTTGATAATACACTTCCTGTATGATAAGATTAAAACATGTTTTAGAAGTAAAAAATGGCCTATTTAATATCCCTTCAACTGCCACATCAAAAGTTGATCTCTATATGAAGAAGGAAAATATTAACTGAAGGGTATTATTTTATCAAAACCTTTCCAAATTCTGAGCTAAAAGTTGTAAGCAGTGGTAAGTCAGAAAGTAGGTGGTCTCACTGTTATGGGAACTTGGGAATGAAAAGTGGTCATTTCAGGTGTAATGGTAGAATATGCTAAAACATGGAATGATGGAATATCTGTGTTTTATTTGTGTATTGTGCAAAATACTTTATTAGCTATTCAGCATAATGAGAGAAATATGGCAGAATTTCCTAAAATGCGCAATGACAGGCCCAAGGAAAGATATTTTTTGCAGTA